GCCACCCTCCCCTCGTGGGAGTCCTGGATGGCGTTTCTGGCTAGTAGATTCCTGCTGGCCCAGCCCTAGCTGTTGGGACCATTTGGAGAGTGAGCCAGTGGGTGGAAGATCTTTCTCTCTTTCTCTCTCTCTCTCTCTCTCTCTCTCTCTCTGTGTGTGTGTGTGCATGTGTCTCCCTCTTTCTCTGTTACTCTTTCAAAAAATAAGTAAATCTTAAAAAATGAATAATGTAAAGAAGAGGAACATTCATATCTTTGGGATCAGGAAGCAAGAAACAGACTACTGGAAAGAGTCATCCCTAGGATAAGTCAGCTCGGGTAAACTGCCTCTAAACCTAAGGTTTGGGACAACAATGCGGTGTTTGTAAAGACTGGAGGCAGAAATAGCAATGGTGAGTGGATGACTCCCTCGCACGGTCAGCTCGGCTGAGGCAGATCACTGTCATCAGCTTTGAAACAGAAACCGTCCCAGACGCAGGGTCCGGAGATTCATCTTCCAGAGAGGCTTTGACGCTATCAGTTGCTTCAGCGGGATGAGAAGTTTCAGCACCTACTTACGAAATACTTACCTCGCTCGGACTTTTTGCTTAAAGGCAAGATGGGCTAACAAGGACCGATTTACCTCTCAACCTCAGTCCAGCAACCAAACAGAAGCAGACACACTGTGCAAAGCAACAGTTTCCAAAACACAGGGTAGTAAACCACAAAAGGTAAAGGATTCCTGAGGGGCTGTCCGGTTTTGACCACATCAGGCTGCTCCCAGGCCACAGACAGGCAAAGGAACCAAGGGAGATTCTGGCCAGCTCCCTGAGTAGACAAACTACAGCTGAGAGCCTGGGTGGACCAAGATGGTGAGAGAGCTCACTGTGGAGTGAAGAGTTGGAAGAGCTGTGAGAAGGAAACTCAGGGGTCTGCAGTGGGACCCCCCACCCCCACCCCAAGTAATCAGCAGAGCACAGAGCAATGCACAAGGGTGAGAAAACCGCCGGACAGGCCACGGGAAGAGAGGACCCGAAGGAACAATGCCCAGTACTCAGAGCCAACAGTGCCCTCCCCAAGCATGGGAGGGGGAGGAGAGGAAAGGGGAGGGAAGGATGGGGAGGGGAACTGGGGGGTCTGAAGGGGTGGAGAAGGAAAAGAAGAATAGTAGGAGGAGGGAGAGAGAGAAAGACACCTTAAGATGCTGTGGGATACTTTTAGCAGCTTAATACACATGTATCGGGGCTGGTGCTTGGTGTAGTGGATTGAGCCGCCGCCTGTAGTGCTCGTATCACATATGCGTATCAGTTTAAGTCCTGACTGCTCCACTTTGGTGGAGCTCCCTGCTAATGCACCTGGGAAAGTAGTGGAAGATGGCCCAAGTCCTTGGGCCCCCGCACCCACGTGGGAGACATAGAAGAAGCTCCTGGTTCTGGTTTCGGATAGGCACAGCTACGGCCGTTGTGGCCAATTGGGGAGTGAACCATCGGATGGAAGACCTCTCTCTTTCTCTCTCTCTCTCTCTCTCTGCCTCTCCTCTCTCTGTGTGCAACTCTGACTGAAATTGGATGCCTGTGGTTAAGTCCCAGCTTTGCTCTGTATTCCAGCTTCTTGCTAATGTGCACACTGGGAGTCAGCAGGTGATGGTTCGAGTACTTGGGTCCCTGTGACTCATGTGGAAAATCTAGATTAAATTCCTGGCAGTTATACGTGTTTGTGAGGTGGACCTGCAAGTGGAAGATTGCTCTCTCTCTCTCTCTCTCTCTGCCTTTCAAATAAATAAAATGAGTAAGTTTAGAAAAAGTTAATAAGCTATTGAATTTCTATAAACTAGCAATGGGGGCCAGCGCTGTGGCGTAGTTGGTAAGGCTGCCGCCTGCAGTGCTGGCATCCCTTATGGGTGCTGGTTCGAGTCCTGGCTGCTCCACTTTCAATCCAGCTCCCTGTTCTGGTCTGGGAAAGCAGTAGAAGATGGCCCAAGTGCTTGGGCCCTTGCACCCATATGGGAGACCTGGAAGAAGCTCCTGGCTCCTGGCTTTGGATTGGTGCAGCTCCAACCATTGCAGCCAATTGGGGAGTGAACCAGTGGATGGAAGACCTCTCTCTCTCTGCCTCTCCTTCTCTCTCTGTGTAATTCTGCCTTTCAAATAAATAAATAAATCTTTAAAAAAACTAGCAGTAAACATTTGGAAATTAAAATTACAGATGATAACAATATAACATATAGTAACAAAAATATGAAATATATAATCTAACAAAATATGTAAAACATATCTACGGAGAAAACTAGAAAACATTGCTCATAGAAATTAAAGAATACCTAAGTAAACAAACTGATATGCCTTATTCAGGAGTCAGACAAATCAGCATTTTTAAGGTTTGAATTCTCCAAATTAATCTATAGATTCAATTCAGCCACAATAAAAGTTCCAAAACGCTTTGAACTTTTTTTTGACTAACATGTAATATTTGTGTATTTTTATGGGGTGGAGTGCAACATTTCAGCACTTACATGCAAGCTAAACTGACCAAGCCAGGCAGCCAGGCTCTCGTTTCCTCACCCTATCTTTATGTTTGCTGCCTGCTGGCTCCTCTCTTCCAATCCTTTAGATGGTATGTGATACATTGCTGTGAACTCGAGTCATCCCATTGTGCTGTGGAACACTAGAACTTGTTGATTCCTTTTAAATTATTTTCTATTTGATAGACAGATGAGGAGGAGGCAGGGAGAGAGAGAGAGAGAGTGTGTGTGTGTGCAAGTGCTCCCATCCATTGGCTAGTGCTCCCATCCTGCTGTGCTGGGGCTGGGGCTGGGATCTGGGAACACAATCCAGGTCTTTCACAGCTTACCAGGAATTTAATTACTGGAGCCTCACTGCTGCTTCCCCTGGTTATGCAGTAGCAGGAGTCTGGAGTCAACAGCACAGCCCAGCACTGAACCCACTACTCTGACGTAGGATGTGGGAGAATTCATCACTAAACACCCACCCCTACAACTAGTCACTTTCATCTGACTGTGTTTTTGTACCCATTATCCAACTTCCATTGATTACCCTTTCCTCACTTTTCCAAGGCTCTAGTAATCACAGTTCTAAGTTCAAATACACTACTCTTTTTAACTTCCACATATGGGAGAAAACATTTTGTAGAAACTGACAGACTGGGTTTGTGTTGTGGCATAGCGGGTAAAGCTGCCACCTGTGATGCTGGCATTCCAAATGGGTACTGGTTTGTGCCCCAGGCACTCCTCTTCCAATCCAGCTCTCTGCTAATGGCCTGGGAAGAGCAGTGGAAGATGGTGCAAGTACTTGGGCCTCTGCCACACATGTGGGAGACTAGGATCAAGTTCTTGGCTCCTGGCCATTGGGACCATTGGGGATTGAATCGGCGGATTTAAGACTTATTTCTCTCTCCCTTGTTCTATCTCTCCTCTATTACTCTTTCAAATTAATAAATTTTTTTTAAAAAAACATATAGATTACAAAAGATGTTCGAAATAATTTACCATTAGAAATAGTAAATCTAAATACAATGACATCACTGCATATGTATCAGAATGGCTAAAATTGTAAGACTCACCATATGAAATTCTGGCATGGATGAGTTAGGATTGGAACATTCCTACAGTGCTTGTGGACATGTTAAGTGATACAATTTTGGGAAATAGTGTGTCACATTCTTTTTTTAAATTTTAAAAAAAGAATTTATATAAAGGTAAGAGATGTCATGTATTTCATTTGTACAGCTTTGAGAACATAATGATACTTCCCACCCTCCCTCCTCCTTCCTTTCTTATTTTCCTTTTAATTTTTCTGATGACATACTTTCAACTTACTTTATGATCACAAGCCTAACCCTCCACTAAATGAAGAATTCAATAAGCAGTAAGAAGAATAGAAAAGGGCTATAATCAATAATAAAATCCCCTATGTCAGTTTCAGTCAAATACATTCCTTTTTCTAATTCTATATATTAGAAGAGGAAAATTTGTATTTTGGGGATTAGCTTATTTCACTAAGCATAATGGCGGTAAAGAGCTAACCATACACTTCCTATATAATCCAGACTCCTGGGTGTTTACCTAAGATAAAAGAAATCCTGTGTTCACACAAAGACTTGTTCATGAATGTTCATAGCAGCTTTATTTGTAGTACTCAAAAACTGAGACAAGCCAAGTGTTGTCACCAGGCAAATGGATAAACAAATTGTGGTATATGCACACCAGTCAACACTGAACATTTTAATAAATGAATAACTGATACAAGCAAGAGGATGGAGATGTATGAATCAAAACAACTATGTGTAGTGTAAGAAGCTAGGCCAAAAACAGAAGGCGTAGTGTCTGAGTTCATTCATATGAAACTGCACAAACACAAGCTGAAAGCATCCTGGTCAGGGGTGGAGGCGTTGGAAGGTGCCTGATGAAACCTTTGGGGGTGATGGATGCAGTCACTATCTTGATGTTCACATGAAAACTTATCAAATTGTACCCTTTAAATGGTCCAGTTTTCTATGCCAACTATACTCAATAGAGCTGTCAACAAAAATATTGTGGAAAAATATTGTGTTTAATGTTTGTTATAAGATGGGTGCTGGGTTGAGTACAGCAAAAATGGAAAGACTTCCTTACAAAGCAGGATGGCCCATGCAGAGGGTGGAAATAGAAAGGCTATTTCTCCATTTCCATCTGCTTCTACTCAGCAACACTTGAATACCTGGCTCCGTTTGTTCTGGAATTGAGTGTGTTCATTGATTGATCTTGTATGTTTCTGAATTATACATCGCTCAACAGAGTTGGGGTGAGGTCACCAACAGTAAATTATGTATTTTAGGGGAGAAAAATTCTACTACGCGTGTCTCGGGGCTTAGAGCTATGAAGCTGTTCTTTGGTAGATAAAAGATGAAGACATGACACAGGTTCAGGAAGTGATCATGGGTTGTAGATCAGTTCACAGAAAAGTCTATTTAACGACTAATTCCTTCCTGGGGCTCCTCCAGTTTCCCAATGTATGTGAGATGTGTGTGTGTGTGTGTGTGTGCACGCACATGCAGGAGTCTGGACATGGACTGCAATTACAAAGACCAATGAGCAATGATTTTAAAGTGGAGAACGCACGCTTGTTTTCAGTTTGATCAGTGTGATCTTTCCTCTGTTTCTTCACGCTGCAGTTTCCCATGTGTAGTTCTCCTTTTCTGCTTTCTGCTTGCAGTTGGGCAAGTTCTCTGTGTTGTCTGCATGCAGGGAAGGCGCACTGAGGTAGACAAGACTGAGTGAAGTGGGCTCCCGAGCTTGGGGAGGAGTCAGATTTTAAATACAAAAGGGAAGTGCCACTGAGGGCTGGCAGAGGCTTGGAAACAGCTGGTTGAACAAGAGAGAAGGGTGTTGGGGACAGATAGATAGATAATGAGATAAAGATAAATAAATAATAGATGTAGATAGGTGACAGATGTAGGTAGGTCAATAGATGATAAATACTGACAGATAGAAAGATGGGGGAAAAAAAAAACCCTTTTGCTACAAAGGTATCAGGCAGCTGGATCCCCCGTCTTTGCCTCTGATAAGGAGTTGAGCAGCTCTCAGGACTCTCAGAGTTCGCACCTACGTCACAAGGAGTAGCTTACATTCCTGAATAAAGTTCATTGACTTTCTTTTCTTCCAGAGCCTTCAAATTCACTCTGATCTCAGCAGATTTGCCTTCTTCTGACAGATACTGTATGCAACTAAAATGCAGTTCTCAGCAAAAACATTTCCCTTCTGTATATATGCACAGGTGCCTGAAGGGTACCTCTGGGAAACAGCACCCTGGAATCTGAACCTGTAGGCAGGGAAGAAGAAAAGTTAGATTTACAGGCAATTTGTGTCAGGAAATCAACATTTTCTTTAAATTTCAAATCAATAATAAATGTGGTGAAGAAAACTCAAGAGGAGATCTAAATGGATAAAGGCAAATTCCTTTGTGCGAGAGGCAAGGAAGGAGACTTTCAGAAATCCCCTAAGCTCCCCTCTGGAGATAAAAGGGACCTCGGTGGAATGCAGCAGTAACTTCACTAGCAGGTTCAGCAAGGAATGGTGAACTTACAAGTGGGGCATCAGAGGAGAACCGTCTTCCCAGAGCCATGAGTAGTCGGGTTTCCTCCGAGACAATCCCATCCAGAATGGGAAGCTGGAATGGGAAGTCGCTTGCTGGATGAAGCCCTGTGGAGAACAGTGGTTGTGAGCTGATAGTGGAATCAATGTGAAATAGAATCTGAATGTCAGTTAGTGTTAGATTCATAAAAATGAAAACCAAAAAGGATCTTTGAGATACCCATGATGGGTCTTTTAAAAAAATCTGTTTTATTTACTTTATTTGAGAGGGAGAGAGAAAGTCTCCCATCTACTAGTTCCCTCCCCAGATGCCCACACAACTCAGTCTGGGCCAGACCAAAGCCAAGAGTTGAGTCTTCCCTCCAATATTGGTGACAGGAACCCGACTCTGAGCCATTGCCTGCTGCTTTTCAAGGGTACATGTTAGCAGGAAATCGGAATGGGGAGCAGAGCTAGAAGTTGAACTCGTGTTCTCTGATACGGGAAGTACTAGGACAAGTGGTTCCCCATCACATGCGATGGCTTTACAGAAATGTTTGCTAAAGCCTAGAGATAGTATCTAACTTGTCAATCCAAGGTCATGTACAGTTGGTGGCAGGACTGGGCTGAAGAACAGATCTTTGGGCCCTCAAACAAGGGTACCTCCACTGAGAACCTAAACCTCATTTATTTCCCCATCACACAACACTTCAGCCCAGCTATCATCTACAAACACTCACCAGATCTTCTGTGCTGTTAATTTTCAATAACTGGGCATCCAAAGACAAGCATTTCTCTTGACTACTTTCCCAATTAAATGATCCAGAGGAAAACAGATAACAGTTTTTTCCATGCCAGAGCCAGTCTTCGGGACAAGGACCTAGTAAGCAAAGCAGGTCTAATTAGTGAGTCATGTTCAAGTGTGAGTATTTCTACAAGTGTTAAATCACTTTGCTCCTAGCCCTCTTACATGGATCCCACTTCTTAATCAGAATTGTACTCAGACTCTGTGAATACCTAGATAGCCTCAGAGTACTTTTTCTCCATTTTTTGAAGAAAAACAATGCATTCTAACTTTTTAAAGATTTATTTTATTTATTTGAAAGTCAGAGTTACACAGAGAGGAGAGGCAGAGAGAGAGAGACACACAGACAGACAGACAGAGAGAGAGGTCTTCCATCTGCTGGTTCACTCCCCAAATGACCGCAATGGCCAGAGCTAAGCTAATCCGAAGCCAGGAGCCAGGAGCTTCTTCCGGGTCTCCCACGCTGGTGCAGCGGCCCAAGGTCTTGGGCCATCTTCTACTGTTTTCCCAGGCCATAGCAGAGAGCTGGATGGGAAGTGGAGCAGCTGGGTCTTGAACTGGTGCCCATATGGGATGCTGGCGCTTCAGGCCAGGGCGTTAACCGACTGCGCCACAGTGCCCGTCCCACATTCTAATTTTAGTACAAAAAATTACTTCCTGTTTAGCATTTTCTTTTCCCCTGTTACAAAGTGAGACAGGCTGCAATGTGATTTCAGAATCTGATCTATTTTTTAAACATATTTGGAATAATGGGAGAGTTAAGAGGGGTAACTATTGAATTGCCATTTTGATATTAGAAGTTATGCTTATGCATTTTAAAACTTTACATCTTTGAATAATGGGTTGACAAACTGTGTCTTCCTATTTTCAGACACAGGCTAAGCAATGCAGTAGCCATATGTGATTTCTGAATATTTGAAATGTGGCTAGTTTGAATTATGAGGTGCTGTGAATATAAGATACAAATCTGATTTTGAAAATTTGGCATAAAGAAGAATGTAAAATATTCTGTCAATAACTTTAATACTGGTTATTGAAATAATATTTGAAATATTTTAGATGAATTAAAATGTGATACTGAAAAGTTTCATTGACTTTTTTCATTTTTAAATGTGTTTACTAGAACATTTAAGGTTACACAGTGATACACACTATATTTCATTTGGACAGAGTTGTTCTTGGGGGAATAAAATATTGATGTAGAGTGAGCAATAAGATTCCAGAAAATAGGGAGGTTTTCCAGTAGCAAAGTTCACAGGGATTCCAAAATAACTTACTCAGACCTTAGGCAATAGGCAAAATATGCCAGTCTCTATCCATGCATGGATGTTTTCAACAACCCTCAAATCACCACCATCATCATTGTCATTGTCTCTTCCATTGTGTTAGTAACACTTGGCATCTGTTTTTGCAGAAGCATAGCTTCTTGGTCTACCCCATGACCAAAAGGTGGCACAAACCATCAGATAATTGTATAAGAGTTGGCTTTATCTGAGAGGGGAGAGTAGGAGGGCAGTCGACAATGAAGGATGAATGTCAGTAAGAATATAAAAGGCAAAGCCCAAGCAACATACACAACTTCTGTGCGTCTTTATTTGCCTCACCTGTCACATTATGTAAAGGTAAAAATTACATGGGCTGGAGGAACAATCTAGTCAAGCTTTCCAAGCTATGAAAAAGCAAGAAAGACACATATCAAAACATGGCAGTTAAATGCACTGCATTTCTGTGTGTGTGTGTGTGTGTGTGAAGTTAACAAACACAAATGTTACTCAGTATGTAACTATTGGAAGTACTTTGCGTATGTTAACGTGTTTGATCCTCGTAACAACTCTATGAGATTGGTTCCATCAATGTTTCCCATCTGAGAAACAGAGAACATGGGGATTTGAACCTAGGTGGTCTAACTGCTATGTTTAACCATCGTATCACACTACCTCTCAATCTTCTAAGTCAGACCCATTCAAAGAAATATTTCTTGGTGCCCCTCTCAATGTTTTGATACAGAACCTTGGAGTCAATCTGGAATCCGCCAGTTTTAGCCAGGTGCATGCACACCATAGCGCGAGAAGCACCAGTAATTCCGGTGCTGAATGAAAGCCTACTGCTGGGACTGCCTGATACCTCATCAACTCAGTGACTGCAAGCAAACTCACTGGAGCTCCTCAGTCACTCCTCATACAAGGGTGCTTCTAAGAGTTTGTGGAGTGGGGAATTGAAAGATAAATCCATATTGGTGAAGAAAAATTTTGAAATCCATAAATACAAAGGATTCATGGAGAATGTATTATGAAAAAACTGCACCAACTTCAAAATTTGGGGAACAAAATAATCCTGTCTTTAAAAATAGTTTTATTTTATTTATTGGAGAGAGAGAAACAGAGTGAATAGGATGGGGGTGGGGAAAGAGAGAGAGAGAGAGGAAAAAAAAATGTGCTTCCATCTGTGTTAGGAAACTGGCAAACTGGCGCAGTTTTAGCCAGGTGGCCGCATGGCCCAGCTACCTGAGCCAGGCTCCACCCCCATCCTAATGGGATTCGCTGCTCCTGCTTCCCTGCCCGCCCTCGGGCAAAGTTTTAAAAGGACCTGTTCCTGAACACGTGCTGTGTTGGTCCTTCTCTCCTGCGCTCTCTTGGCCTCTCTTGGCTCCTCTCCTCCTCTCATCTCTCTTCTCCTTCCTCTCTGTCTCTCTTACAGTCTCCTTCTCTTTTCCCTTCGCCACCCCTTCACTCCGGTCTGTAGGGTGTTCCCCAATAAACCCTTTCCTTTACTCTGGTGTCCAGTGTGTTTTGCGATGGTTAACATTAATATATAACAAGCTGCTCATTCACTCTTCAAATGCCCGCAACTGGTGGGACTAGGCTGGGTCACAGCTGGAAGCCTGAACTCAATTCTAGCCCACTGTGGTTCCCTAGATGGGTGGCAGGGCCCCATTTACTCAGACCATCACCACTGCCTCCCACGGTCTGCACTAGCAGGAAGCTGGAATCAGTAGTTAGAGCTGCAGATCAAACCCAGGTACTTCCACGTGGAACACTGTTATCCTAACGTGTCGAAATGCCTGCCCCAAACTGATCTTTTAATTCCACTTTTTCCACAACTTTTTGAAGTACCCTTGTACACTGAGGACCACAGACTTGTTAATAAGAAAAGCAAAACTTGCCTCAAACTTGGGAAAACTGCCATACTTTTTCCTTGTTGTATTTTAGGGTTTATTTCTTTGGCTTTTTCCCCCTTTTCTTTCTGTTTTTTGTTTGTTTGTTTGTTTTAAACATCTCAAAGCTGCTTGATAAAAAGCAGAACTTAAATTGGTGTCTCTAATAACCAGTCTTTATCTGACACTGTCAAAGAGTGGAATATGTTACCTGGCATGTCTGCCCTCTGTGGACATGCTATTTATTATTTTTGACTAATTATTCATGTGTGGCATCTCTGGGAGATGATTCTGAATGGTACTGACATAGCTTTAATCCAATACAATTTACATTTGATAAAGGCAGAGCAGTTTAAACAGCTCTACTGTGAGATAAACCATTGGTTGGTATGCAGCTATGTCTGGCCCCTGTCAACATTCCTATCTTTGATACATAAGCCTCCTTTCTTCAAGCTTTTATGGAAGTGTTGTATTTATTTCCTGCAGGTTCTTTCCTGAAGCAGATTAAACACATGCTTGACACTTGCTCAAGATCAGGTTGTCTAAAATCTCTGCTTATTTTGGCCATTTAAATTACCCTGTGCATAGTGAAGGGGTTTATGAACTGCAAAAACCTTACACAAAACTACTTATCATTATTCTTATCATTTAACTGTATCTGGGTTTCAATTTTTTCACCCATAAAATTAAGAGATGGTATTCCTGGACTATTATTATATAATCATTATTCAAAGAATATCACTTGATTGAAAATTAAGCAAGCTGCACCAGCAACAAGCTGGATAAATTCCTACTTATTAGAAGCAGCTGGTTTCTTTTTTTAAAATTTTTATTTATTTATTTATTTTGACAGGCAGAGTGGACAGTGAGAGAGACAGAGAGAAAGGTCTTCCTTTTGCCGTTGGTTCACCCTCCAATGGCCACCGCGGCCATTACTCACTGGAGAAAAGATCATATACATAGTTGAGTAGCTTGATGTTGTAGACATTAATGTTTCTGCCTGACTCCTAGACTCCGAGTACACTTTAGACAGTGGAGACCAACTCAGTTCTGTGAACTGACTCCCTGGACCCCTCACATCCTTGTCTAGTGTGCAGTTATCTGCGTAAGACTTCCAAGCCAGCCCACCTCCACTGAGTCTGTTTAGAAGTGCTGCCTTCTAAGGTACATTGGCTTAGCAGGAAGCCACTGAGGAAGAGGAGGTGAGGAGTTGCCAGGACAAGTCCCCTTAGAGAAAGAAATCCAGTGGTTAAGATCATTGGAATGGAAAGAGATAAAGATCTCCGGCAAGGCGTGTGGGTAGGACAGTGCTTCCAGGAAAATCCTCAAACTAGAATTTTTAAAAGAAAGAATAAGCTCTTCTGATAAGGAAGAAAAACTGAAACCCACTGAAAGGTCTGCTCAAATCAGACATCTCAAGGATTTGGTGTAGATTAGGACAAGGATGACAAAAAGAGAGCGTCTAGGGTAGGATTAGTTGTTACAAATGAATAACTGAGACCTATATCAATATGCCAACTTTGAGCCTGGAGGTATTTCCAGACAATAGTTCAGACTGAGCAGAAAGCCTGCTGCTGCATCTCTTCACACACCCCACACCCCGTACCTGAAAAGTTGTCCATTCTCTTCAGAGCCTCTTGGAGATTCAGGTACTGATGGTTAAGTTCCATTTGCTTTTTGGATTTTTCATCCAGCCTCTTGGCAAGAGTTTCTATCATTTCTTTGAGTTCCCTTTGTGACTCCTGGGAAGCTGCTTCTGCCTGCTGCTGGGCTAAGACCTGTCCCTCCAGTATATTCTCCTGCAGAGTGAGGTTTGCTTGCTGTTGCTTTAGGAGGTCAGATACCTGCAATACTAAATCACACCCGATTCCATTTTCAATCCTCGGCAAAAATTCCTCCAAATGGATTTTTAAGTAAATCGGTACACAAACTCAAATAACCTATCTTGACAACAGATAAGATACTGGAAAATGACCTAAATGCAATCAGATATTGTGGATTTGGAAGTTAATTTCAGGAATTGTACTAGTGACAAAAAAAGAGATTTTATTTTTAATTGAGAGTTATACACAAGTTAAGAGTAATCACAGCACACAAAGTGTAATAGTCGAATAAAATATAGCCAGACACCCATGAGATTCAGTGGTTATTAATAGAAATAGCCATTAATGATGTACTCTATTTGTGTCTTAATTATTTCACTACATCTCCTCCCATTCTGTCTGTTCTTTCAGACTTCCTAATTTTATTTAGGAACTGTGGTGCTCAGAATTATTTTAAATTATTGTGTCATAAAAGTCTCAAAACTTTTTTTTGGCTACAGCATATTTTAGGAAGGGTGGAGATGAAATGAGGTTGTGAAATCAAGCAGAAGTGAATTTTAGGGTCAAATAGCTCAGTTATAGATTTTTTTTAAACCAAAAATATTATTTATTTGAAAGGGAGACACACACATACACACACACACCCAGAGAAAGAGAAAAATTGAGACATAAATACAGATGAAGAGAGATCTTTCATTTACTGTTTTACCCTCCAAGTGCCTGTAGCAGCTAGGGCTAGGGCAGGCCAAAGTCAGGAGCCAGGAACTTAGTCTGGATCTCCCACATGGGTGGCAGGGATGCAACTTCTTGATGTCTCTTAGGGAGTCCATTAGCAGAAAGTTAGAATCAGGAGCAGAGCTGAGACTTGAACCCAGGCACTCCCATATGGGAAGCTGGTATCTTAGTGTCCCAAGCAGTGTCTTAACTGCTGGGCCACACATCTGCCCCTCAGTTCTGGAGTCCTGATGGTAGAGTACAGAACAGACCTCCTGGCTTCAAGGTCAAATGTGACCCTTGTAGGTGACCAAAGCCTCAGAGGAAGGCTCCTACAGTCCCTGACACTGAGTCAAGGATGCCTCTCTCATTAGGAAAGACCTTAAGTGTCTATAGATGGAAATAACAGTAGTTTGTGAATTTGAACAACCAACAAGCCAATAGCAAATCAAAATCTTTAGTAACCTAGATCCTAGGCAGCTGAAGCATCTCAGATCTACAACCTAACACACAGGCAGAGCAGATGGATGATGGGCACCACTTTCTTTCTCTCTAAGCCACTCTGGTCTTTCTTTTCACTTCCTCTTTTCCTCTCAATATCCTCTCTTGCTAAATGGTCATATTACAAATTTGGCAGTTTTTAAAAACAGAATACAGATATTTTTTGAAAACATATTTTTTCAGTTTATTTGAAAGTTGGGGGAGGGGAGAGAGAGAAAGAGAGAGAGAGACAGGGAGAGGGAGAGGGAGAGAGAAAGGGAAAGAGAAAGGGATAGAGAGAGAAACCTTCTATCTACTAATTCACTCCCCAAATTCCTACAGTATCTGAGGCTGGGCCAGTCTGAAACCAAGAACCTAGAACTCAATCCAAGTCTTGCAAATGAGCTGCAAGCATTTGAGTAGTTGGGACCCAGGGACTCGAGTCATCATCTGTTGCCTCCCAGGATATGTATTAGCAGGCAGCCACGTCAGAGTGGAGCTGGGGCTCAAATCCCACATATCCCAAGCATCATCTTAATTGCTGTACCAAACACTGCCCCTACATTTTGTTTCAAATATTTTACTTATTGTATTTATGGTTCTTAACTTTAAAATAATATTTAATCACCACTATTTCAAAAAAATCCATAAAAACTAAATTTCTTTTATGTTTAGGTCTCTGAAGTAATCGTGTGGAATAGCAACTTCAAATAATTTTCTTCTCCATCGTTGTAGCATTTAAATAGACATGATCTATGAACTTATGAAAACAAAAAGCCAACCATTTATAATCTTCATTCCAACTCTCTACTCATTTGAGGTATGAACAAAATACACTTACTCCTTTTCCCACACTAAAAACATTTTGCCTAAACAGAATCTAAATCAAGACTGTTTTGTAGTTGTTACAAAACAAACTTAAACACTTACCAGCCCTCATCCTCCCCCCACTCACACACCATTTCCCTATTTCAGCACTTACATTGCATCCCCAGCATTATAATGGTCACCAGTGATCCCAGGCAAAGGACTCCGAGAGCCACAGCAGCTGGGCACCACCACGGAGAAGAAAGAAAACGGAGACCTGGAGTGACAGAGGACATTAGCGAGATGAGTAAGAATGGGAAGAAGTCATATTGTTCTCTGGGTCCTGTCTGTATTTGGAGCTCTGCTTTCCTCACCTCTGGTCCTCCCATTGGTTCTGAAAGCAGTTTCTTCTACATGTTTACAGAGGAAATAAAAGGATCGTTAAAGGACTGGCGTGGTGCCTCCAGGACCACACAACTGCCAGGATTCCACACCAAATGCCTAAGTTTATAATCTGCCTAATCTCCCCACAGTGACTCTGCAAGAAACTCCCAGTCCAGCCTGGTTGGATCAGCTTCACCGACAGTACAGAGAGCCTGATGCTTGTAACACAGGTCATGTGTACACATGTGTGTGTGCACACACGTGTTTTATAAGGAACATGATATGAACAGATATCAGGCATCAAGAAATAAGTTTCAGGCAATTAATGAACAGAGATTTCCTTAAAGTATCCTGTACATTATTACATAGTCTTTAATGTTTAGTCCACTAAAATTACATCTTGAAATTGGAGCTTTTTTTGAGCAAAGACAAATCAGAAGGAAACTTCAGTATTCTCATGGCTTATACTAACAGCATGTCCTACACTAATACCAATTCTGGGGTTGTTGTTATAAGAGGAAAATTCATCATTTTTATGAAAATAAATAAATCCTATAGCTTACAGGTGTCAGAATATCTCTTTATGTGTTCCATCAGTAACAAAGCACAGATAATATTGGATCTGTAGGAAAAAATTCCATACAATATATTTGGCTTCCTCATTTAATGAGAAAAACAAATAAAGCACTGATATTGTTATCTTCAATATGCAAATAGAAAAGTGAAGGGTTCCATCATGTGCTTAAAATCAGATGATAAAATCTAAAGAGATATTAAATTTAATTGTCTATCGCTATATAACTGGCTATACCACATCACAAAATTTCCAGTGTGAATGGACAATGATCCAAGTCAACCAACACACAAATATGTTCAAAGAGCTTTCATGATTCAAAAGCACTGTGCTAGACTCTGCAGATGATAAAGAGAACACAGGCATTTTTGACAGTGAGGAGTATAAGGGTACTTATGGAAAATATGTATTATGGAAAAACTATGTATGGATTGCAAAAAAATTATTTTGCAACATAATAAACTTATCCTTTCATTCTATTTTCCATTAAGTTCTTGAAGTACCCGCATGTGGTTCTTTCACTGACTCAATAGTTTCTGAAGTCCAGTGTGTGTGTGTGGCAAGCTTGGAGATGCAGAAGATAACTTTCTCTTGTGAACAAGTGACCAATCATATCCTCAGAAGCAATTATCTCCTGTGAAGTTTTCAACCCATCTCCCTCTGGCAAATATTCATCTCATTAGGATGTCAAGTATGTTCACCACTTCTGGATGATAAAATTCCTGAATTTTTAGAATTTTTACTTAAAAAAAATGGGAGGACCTATAGCTGTGAAAGATCTTCTTTGTTTCTCTATACCTCCCTTTGTCCTGTTCCCTTGGTAGGTAGAAGCCATTAATTCAATTCCACCCCTACTATTGTTTTCCTAATCAGAAAATAATTCAATTCTTTGCAGCTGGACATGAATCTAACCAGGGTTCTGAAAGAATTAATTTAATATTACAGCAAAAGTCAAGCACTCAATCCTACTGTATGAATAATGAATGAATGAGTAAACAAGCTATTATTATTTCTTGTAGGTCTACCCATAAATGCCAGCCTTTTTTTCATACCAAGTTATGTCATCATCTCCAACTTATTTTCCTATGGAGAGAAATCTTTATCTTGTTTATTGGAAACATGATCTGAAATTTTCTTATCCAAATTTCTGGTAAAACTTGTTTTTCCTCTCCTCCTTATATTTTGTTCTTTTTTCTCAGGATAAATATAAAATAAGGCAATTTATCCAAATTGTTGAAATGGAATTATGAATTAACATATACTTAAAGAGTTTAGATTACATGTATCAAATAGAAATTATATTTTTTTCAGTTATATATAATAAAATTATATGCTAAAAAATACTGAATATCCTGTGATTTACTTTGGATAATTTATATTTCAAGTTTGCAGTATCTCAAAGGCACTTACAAAAGTTATTGGTGTACACACTGGGTCAGAAGGGATTGGATTTTGGATAAATAGATAAATAAATAAAAATAATACATTTAAAGTGAACATCATAGAGAATAGCTTACAATAAATTCTCTAAGTATTATCATCTCCATCATCACCATTATATCTGACTTGTTTTTCTGTAAGGCAAACGGCATTAACTGTACTATGTTTTCCGATACTTGGGTGTCTAGCTTTCCAATCCTATTCTTCAATAAATTTACACTTTTGAGCCTGTGTTGAGATTCTGTTCCTCTACACCTTTGCCCATCCCTGGTACCTTTAGGTTTCTTCCCATTCGACTTCTGATCAGGCTGGTCCTTCATGGGCTTGACCTTGAGGTCGTCAACAGCCATTTCCAAATTCATGCCAAGAACGAGAGATGGAAGCAGTGAAAGACTTCCACAAACTGAGAGTGTGCACACTTCTGCCGGAGTATTTAAAGAGCCACTGTTATCTAATAGAATGACTCAATCACTCGGTAGGAGGAAGGGGAGGTTTTTGCTTCATTTTGGGAAGTTGGCTGACGCATTCTTGAGTTATGTCTATTGCAGGTGGGGAAAGTTGTGATTCTGATACTGTTTCAGCATGTTTCACTAAGTAAATTCTGAAAGGGAAAACTGTATTTTCCATGACCATTAGGGGAGAGGCATTGTTGTACTCCTGCTTCAGACAAGGAAACAGAAATTCAAAAAGAGTGCGTGACACTAAATTTGTGAGAGTGCATTTGGGCCAGCTTATTTCATTCCAACAGTCAGAGCTGTTTGTTAATTTCACCATAGTACATGTCTCTATGTCTATATAGTGTCTTTCACAACTCATACATTTTTCTTTGTATCTGTCACTTTGTTCTTTGTAGGCATCTTCCAGACTAAGATTAAATGCTTTTTCTTTTTTTATGAGAGAGAGAGAGAGAGAGAGAGAGAGAGAGTTCCTATCTGCTGGTTCACTCCCCAAATACCAGCATCAGCCAAGGGAGACCAAAGCTAGGTCTCCCACATGTAGGATAGTTTCCCAAATACTTGAGCCACCATGGCTGCCTCCCAGGATCTTCATTAGCAGGAAGCTGTGATCAGGAAGCAGAGCCAAGTGTCAAATCAAGGTGTACAGGTGTCGCTCCCTGTCTTCGTGGAGGAACGACACAGGACCCTGCGCTGTTCTTTTGTCTGCTCGGCCCTCCCCGGGTTTGCTGCTGGTTCTTCCCGGGTTGGCTACCGACCCTTCCACCTCCGTGGAAGGGCGGTTCCCCCTGCCACATTCCCCACTTCCGCAGGGGAGCGGCACACCGCCGGCTGGCTCTCTCGGGGGCTGCACAGGTGTTCCCCTTAGATGTTCCTGGTGCATGTTGTCTCTCTCCTCCTTTATAGTCCTCTTCCACCAATCCCAACTCTGCTACCCACATGCCGAGTACGCTGCTCTCCTCCAATCAGGAGCAGGTCCCACAGTCTATTGGTTGAACTGGAGGCATCTGTGTAGAAGCTGTTTCCCTTCTCAGCGCCATATTGTGGGAAAGCAGATGCATAGAATAAGTCTTAATTCCAGTAACTTAGTCTAGTCCGAGTTGCTCCCCACATACAGGCATCCTAACTGGTGTTTTAACAACTGAGTGAATCCCTGGCCTGCTGTCATTTTTAAAGTTGATAGTAGACATGAAAATTTGGGATGAGTCATCTATAACTCCTATTAATGCAGTGATGTGCTGGATAATTTTAGAACTTAACTAAGGGTACCATTTCTTTCTTTCTTTTTTTAAGATTTATTTATTTATTTGAAAGGCAGAGTTACAGAGAGAGAGGTCCTCCATCCACTGTTTCACTCCTTGAATGGCCGCAATGGCAAGAGCTGAGCCGGTCAGAAGCCAGGAGCCAGGAGCGCCTTTCTGGTCTCCCACGTGGGTCCAGTGGCCCAAGCACTTGGGCCATCCTTTGCTGCTTTGTCAAGCATATTAGCAGAGAGCTGGATTGGAAGTGGAGCAGCTAGGACCCAAATTGCCATCCATATGTGTGTGTAAAGCTGGGACTGCAGGCAGTGGCTTTACCCTCTGCCACAGTGCAGGCCCCAAGGGTACCATTTCATACAGTTGCAATGTGACATAGAAGCACACAGCCCTGTATAGTCAGAACTAGTTTCAGATCTTCCCCAAGATCTGCAACCTTACGGAATTGCCTAACACTGTAAATCTCTTTGTCTATAAGTTAGAAATAATGTCTACTTGCTAATGTTGCTATAGGTATTTAAACGAGAAATTGGGTGAAAAGAACAAGCTCTGTACTTGGAACATAATAGGAACCCAATTAATATAGTTATTACCATTGTGAGTAGTGCTATTCAGTCCAGCTGAATTAGTCAGCAGAAGTGCATGTGGATGACTTGCAACCCAAATATTTGGTCATGGTGCCCTCCCTGTAAATGTGTCTGTGTTCTCTGATTGAATCCAAATCTGCTTTCCCTTCCCAATCTCCTAACCCAAAAAAACCTCACTGACATTATATGTGTGTGGTTTTTTTTATTTTAAAGAATTCTTATCCATTAGAGATGTCTTCTGAAGTGTTATGTCCAAAATGATATGATGTTTAGGATCTGCTTTAAGCTAAGGAAAAAAAAAAAAACTAGAAGAAAAAGTGGGTAAAAGAAGAATGGACAAGTAAATACAGTTTTGAGGGAACTATTAGGAAAAATCACCAATATTGACAGGCTACTTAGAAGTGCATTTCCCTCCTACCCCTGAGAAGCTGCCTGTATTACTTTGTTCTGAGCAGGGTATCTGAGATCAACTTGAAAATAGTTAACTCAGCCGGCGCTGCAGCTCACTTGGCTAATCCTCTGCCTGCAGTGCCGGCACACCGGGTTCTAGTCCTGGTTGGGGCGCCGGATTCTGTCCCGGTTGCTCCTCTTCCAGGCCAGCTCTCTGCTATGGCCCGGGAGTGCAGTGGAGGATGGCCCAAGTGCTTGGGCCTTGCTCCCGCATGGGAGACCAGGAGGAAGCACCTGGCTCTTGGCTTCGGATCGGCGCAGCGCGCCGGCCATAGCAGCCATCTGGGGGGTGAACCAACGGAAGGAAGACCTTTTTCTCTGTCTCTCTTTCACTGTCTAAGTCTGCCTGTCAAAAAAAAAAAAAGAAAAAAAAAGAAAATAGTTAACTTGTCATTTTAAGTTTTACTCTATCACGCAGTTCGCACGCATAAAAAATTCAGCATGCACCAAATACATGGGCGTTAACGCAGCTTGTAACAAATCCCTTCATCTCCCAAGCCCATCCCACATCCCTGGACAGTGAATTCTGGGAAGGGAAGAGCCTGACTCGATACATTTCTGTGCTCACCAGGCTGCCTTTCACACGTATCAGATCGCAGGAAGTTAATAGTAAATTAATAAATACTGAAAATATCACAATGAAAAGGATGCTTCATCATTCTCACAGTGACTGCTGTTCCCAATGCCACTGAAATTATATAACATCAAATGTTTACCATTTTAACCATTTTTAATGTCCCGTCCAGTGACATTAATGTATCTGCACTGCTGTGTAGCATCACCACTACCTTATCTCCAGAACGTTTTCATTTCCTCTGACTGAAACGCTGCTCCCATTAAACAATAACTCCTGTGAGGTAAACTCCATGTGTCCCCTTAACCAGGCCAGGGACTCCCAGATAGGGTATTCTGGGGACAGAGTCACTTATTAACCAATATTAACCACTAAAATAAAGCAAATTTCTCTCCATAATGTGAATGGGCCTCATCCAAACATTGAAGACCTGCAGAACAAAGGGGTTAGCTTTCTCCCAGGTAAAAGAAGACCTCTACACCATTAGCTCTCCCGGGTCTCCTTACTGATAGCACTCCCCACTCCTTCCTCCTCCCTGGAAGATCCCATTCTACTTTCTGCCCATATCCTAGGTAACTCATGGATGTGGAACCATGCACTATTTATCTTTTTGCATCTGAGTTATTTTACTCCGCATAATGTCTTCAAGGTCCATTCACATGTGTTGTGTATTGGGATTTCCTTCCTTTTTGTATGCACTTTTTATAAAAAGATTTATTTTATTTATTTGAAAGAGAGTTAGAGAGAGAGAGAGAGAGAGAGAGAGAGAGAGTTCTAATCACTCCCTAAACAGCTGCAATGGCTGGAGCTGAGCCCATCTAAAGCCAGGAGCCAGGAGCTTCTTCCTAGTCTCCCATGTGGGTGCATGGGCCCAAGCACTTAGACCATATCTACTACCTTCTCAGGCACATTAGCAGGGAGCTGGATCGGAAGTGGAGCGGCTGGGACTTGAACCAGTGCCTATGTAGGATGCCAGCATTGCAGGCTGGGGCTTTAACCCACTGTGCCACAGTGACGGCCCCAAAACTTCTTTCCTTTTAAAAGCTGCATAATATTACCTTGTCTTTATGTACCACATTTTGGGTTTCTTCTGTTTTTAAAGGGATAGTTTCTAAGCAGTTTCTCCCTGTGTAGGAGATAGCTGGACAGACTTGAAAGACTTTAGCAGGGTCCCATTATTCTTGACTCCTGGTAGGAGCTCATGTTCAGGTGTAATTTCTTCCCCTGGGGGTGTGGTTGGGGATTACAAAAGTGATGGATTGGGGCCAGTGTTGTGGTGCAGTGGGTTAAAGCCCTGGGCTGAAGTGCCAGCATCCCATATGGGTGCTGGTTCTAGTCCCGGCTGCTCCTCTTCCAATCCAGCTCTCTGCTATGGGCTGGATAGCAGTGAAAGATGGCCCAAGTTCTTGGGCCCCTGCACCCATGTAGGAGACCTGGAAGAAGCTCCTGGCTCCTGGCTTCGGATTGGCACAGCTCTGGACATTGCGGCCATCTGGGGAGTGAACCAGTGGATGGAAGACCTCTCTCTGTGTCTCTACCTCTCTCTGTAACTCAGTCTTTCAAATAAATAAAATAAATCTTTAAAAAAAGTGATGGATTATATGTAATCATATAAATGTGATTACATGAGGTATAGTGATTGTTACGCTAAAGCCATTCTCTTTGCTTTTCCTATCTTTATTATTTCTGCATCTCTCTCTCTGTCTAGTTATAAAGAAGAAAGCTTAATAGATCCTATAGCTACAAAGACATGAACACTACTTGAAGGAGCTTGCAAACAGATCCTTCCCCCACTGAGTCTTCAAATGAGAAAGTAGCCTTGTGAGACCATAAGCAGAGGACCCAACACCTCCATGCCCACACCTCTGGCTCTCGGATACTTTGACTCAGTAAATGTGTGTTGTTTCACATTGCTTCTAAAGTAACATGGTCATGTGTTATATGGCATTAAACTGAATACATCCTGTGACAAACTGAATCCTTCTGTTGCATTTAACTCTCCTATATCTAATCCTCTGACTCTCAATGCCTCTGAGGTTGTCCCTTAATACCTATGCTGTGATCTTGGTTCATGAGACAGTTCCCAGTGGAGCCCCCAGAGGTTTAAAAAGGAACTAACTTCGTTTGCCATCTTTACTTTTGAAGGCATGGTTGTGATCCAATCCACTGCACAACTCTTTATAGCTTGATGTTGATGCCTCAGAGTAATAACAGTCTTGGCCTCTGTTTCAGTGGGGCAAAGAGAAGAAAGGACAATGTGGCTCACTAACTTGGGCAAGGTCAAAAGGAGAAAAATCAAACAAGCAATTATTTGACTATGCTTGTTGTAGTAGTTGTATAACAATTCCTGGAAGCATGGGCCAAAAAAAAAAAAAAAAAAAAAAAAAAAAAAAAAAAAGCCCTCCATTGGTTCCACTCCAAGTCCTTAACAACCTGGATATGAGCTAATGATTCACAAGCTTAATGGAACCACACAAGATTGTATAGGACTGTCCTGACATCAACCCATCCACCCCAGCTCCCTGGCCTCCTGTGTCTGCCCAGTATATACCTTCCTAAGCCTTCTTGCCTGACTTGTCTTTTCTCTCGATCATTCCCCATATGGAGCCTTTGATAGAAATTTTAACAGAGTTAAAATTGCCACAAGGCACAATCATTTTCATTAGGATTTTTAAAAAAAGTTTTATTTCCCTAGCGAATAATCTGGTGGGAAAATAGGAAATCTAGGAAAGAAAAATAACAAGGCCATTAACAGAATCCTATTTTGTTAGGAAGCTGGAGGGCAGAATGATGATGGCAATCATGTGGTGGAAAAGTGCAATGGGAGAGAGGGTAGAAATCATGTTAATTGGCAAACCTGTTTGTGCAGGTCAAGGCTGGCAGAGCTGCGAGAGGAGATGGCCAGGTTAGCAAGGGCAAATATTCAAGAACTGGAATATTAGGAGAGCTAAAACGTAGATTGGAAAGGAATTAGTATAAAAATACACAGGAGATGCATAAAGGATGTTAACCATGCAGCATATTGTAAGGGAAGATCTTAGGTAAAATTGAATGAAAATCAAAATAGTGTTAGCTAACACATGAAATAGTTGTTATCAAGACTATTATGTGCATCTAATACATACTGGCTTATTTAATCTTTATAAGCCGATTACTCTGACAATGTTATCATTATTACCCCCATATGATATGAACTGAAATTGAACCAACAGAGAGAAAAAATAACTTGCTGAATAACTTGCCAATAAGTGACAGAGCAAGTACTGAATCCCAAGCATCCCTTCTGGGAGCTGAGTCAGGATGCTTTATTGTCTCCCTGATAAGCCACACAAAAGAAAAGGTTTATGGTGCTTCTACGCTTGACTGAATAGAAACATTCCATTCCAGGCATCTTCTGGCCTTTGGTTCCATTTTCTCTAAGAAATACCATCTAACTCAAGTCAGGCAGACATCCATTCCTGCCTTGTAAAGGACACATTAAGTACTGGGGAGCCAGCACAAGGGTCTCGCTCTCCCTGACGTGAAAAACACCTCCCACTCTGTCAAAATTTTTATGGAAATTTGGAAAACATGCTTCAACCTAACCCCAACTGTCTTACTTTTTTAGAAAAGGAACGTTAATGCTCCTTACTTCTGAAACAGGTTTTAAATAACCAGTATCATGCCAGGGTATTCTTTCACTATTTGTTTTCCTCAGCTGAGAAAAAAATGTTTATATTCGCCATTCTCATATCACTTTGTCATGCTCTGTGTGCCCTTGGACTACAACCGGTCTCACCCAGTGGTCTCAACAAACCACTCAGTATCATTAGACTTTTCATAGTTAGGATCTGAAAGGTGCTTTTATTTCACTCTTATAAGATAGATACTCAATGAACAGTGAAAATTAACATTTAATGATCTTATGAATTGCATTGTATTAAGCCAAAGATTCCTTACTTAAGTATAAATTTTTGCAGTCTCTATTTGTTCCAATAGATATGTTTGTGTATTTTCTGTCTTTCCATGGGTGCTTGTTTTCACTATGACCTTAGGTTTATTTTCTTGAGTGCAAAATTCCTTTTTCAATCACAACACCACTTTGCCAGAAAAGAGAATGAGAGAAATGAACAAAGGAATAAGTAATTTAAGAAAACCTTATACATTTTTGGAAGCCAGTTTTTTTTTTTTTTTTTAATGTGCCTATCTGCCTCACTTGCAGGTGTTGATGGCAATCAAGTCAGGGTGGAGGAGGACGTCATTGACAGCACCTGGAAATTCTAATTTTCCAACCTGATTACTCCTACCCCAGTGGTTAGGAATAAATGATCCAGAACCAGCAGAGTTGATTATCAACATAGTGAAGGAGAAGGTTTCAAAGAGCAAGACCGGGCCGTGTTAATCACATAGAGAGGGGGCGAGCGGAGACTGGCAGGGCAGCCTTCAACCTCCTCCAGTCATCCTGGAGAGCGGCAGTGAGAGACAGGACGTTACTAATTTTCTGATGACAATGAGAACATATATTTTGTCATCATCCATCAGCTTTTGATCTTCCTCAAAGCTAACTTTCTCATCACTGACTAGAAAAAATACTTGATTCAGAGGACAAATGTGTCCTTTTTGACTGTCTTCCTTTTGGGGATAGTGGGAGAAAGAAAGTTAAATAGAAAGGATTTACAACTGGAAGGAAAGAAAGAAGGCAAAAAGAAGCAAATGCGCTGATCATAGAAACAAAGGAGAGGGGAGAGAAAGACAACAGAAATTAAGAGCTAGAGAAAGTTAGAGGAGAGAGAGAGAGAGAGCAGGGAGAGACAGAGAGCGAGAGAGAGAGAGAGAAGGAGGAGAAGGAAGAGGAGGAGGAGGAAAAACTGACTTACTGCTGAGAAAGTTTCTCTTCTTAAGAATTCTAGGTGAAGAAGTCACACATGGCTCACAGCATGAAAAGGAGGCAATGGACATGCAGCATGTGATCCTGGAGAAGCAGGAGTCCAGACCCATGGGAGTCAGAGCCCAGGCCCTGGTGGCCTCTGCCCTGGCATCTTTCATCCAGGTGAGTTCAGCTGTGAACAGGCAGGAAGAAGGCATTTTCTCCCCCCTCAGATGCATCAACTCCCAAAGAACCTGCGAGAAAATGGATGGGGGCAGAGGGGAAGATGTACATAGAACCTGAGAGGCCATGGGAAAAAGGATAACAAAGTTTCCTTACAGTCACAGAGTCGTGTAGGTGAATGGGTGACTAGTGGCAATGCCAGTGGAAAGGGGGACAAATACAGTGGCCATCTCGACAGGCTATGCCGCTTTAGAACACAACCTGTGTGTATACTTCTCTGAGCGTCTTATCCATCTCACAGAACCCCAAGTAAGTGATGAAAACTCTGCAACTCCCCTAAATAGAATTTCCTATGTCAGCCTAACACATCCTGCGCAGCTGAGATGCCTCCAGTCCAGGAATGTTAAGAAAGGAAGGACTCTTTAAAAGCTCTCTGAACCCTCTATTTCTCCTGACTATTAATAGCAGCCCCTCAGTAATTCATCAGAGAAGAGGGGTTCAGAATGGTGGTCAAGGAGGAGTTTCTGTAGCCGTGAACTCTAGCAAGGAGAGCAAATGAAGGAACTCAATGGTATCCTATTCCTGTTCAGCTCTTGGCCTAGAGGGTTTTGTCTGTTTTACTCTGATATACTCTTGAACCAGCATCTGAAAATCCACTTTTTCTTTATTTTTCCTGTATTTTATTTTGTTTCTTCTTCTCTTCTCTTTCCTTTTTGAATCTCCATTTCTCCTTCTTTGGGCTTTTTGCAACAAGTGTGAAAAGTGACATTTGCCTTCCGGGTTCTTTAGGTTTCTCTCACCTTTGGTGAAGAAAGTGAAACAGTCCCAGGGTTGGGTTGAAGAAACAACAGCTGATAGCGAGGGGTTTCTGAAATGTTTTCTGCCCTAAATCCTTTCACCTGGTATGTGCTAATAGTGTGTGTCCCCCACCCTGTCTCCTCCCAACCACAAATTTCCAGTTGGTCCAAATCCCTATCCCCTTTTAAGGACATGTGTCATTGCTTTCCTGAAACTCCAGGCCATTTGTGTTACTGGAAGACAGAAAGGACTTCTATGCCTAGAGAGGTCTTTGAAGGAAGTCAACTGAAATGCAAGGTGGAAGGAGTGGAGGGACGAGACAACAATGTCAAGGGATTGTCACAGCGAACTCGCCTCATTCTATTAAGTCATTCAACACAATTATGATGGAATTTGATTTGAATTCCAACTACCTCTTTCTTAAAATCATATGCCTTAGTCCTCAACTTTCCAAAATAAGGTTAACTATACCCATTTACAGCATTATTGTGATGGGATGTTGTGAAATAGTGAAAGTTCTTAGCAGTTTTATTGCCATATGGTAGTCACACCTCCCCCCCACCCAGCTGTTTGCTATACGGTGAGTTATTAGCATAGTGAGGGGGATGAAAAAAGATCAGTGTCATAGAATTCAATTTGCAACTGGGCAGGAACTAGGAGGATGAAAACAACATCCTAAAGGGAAGATCAGAAAATTTCTAGGACAAATTGATATAAATGTTTGCCTCTCATTTACAAATGCGTGATACTCACCCTCCATCAACATAACAGATGCCAGGGAGCTGTGGTTGGCACAGCAGTTAAGACATCATTTTGGGTGCCTGCATCCCACATTGGAGTGTGTGGGTCTGAGTCCTGGTTATACTCTCAATTCCAGCTTCTTGCTATTGTACACCCTGGGAGGTAGCAGGTGATGGCTCAACTAGTGGGGTTCCGGCCACCTATGTGGGAAACCTAGATGGACATCTTGGCTCCTGGCTTGAGTGTGGCCCACCCCAGGTGTTGTGGGCATTTGGGGGGTGAACCAGTAAATGACAGATCTCTGTCTGCCTGGCTCTGTCTTTCTTTCAAAAATAAATGAAATAAAAAGAAAACCTGTGGCCGGTGCCGTGGCTCTATAAGCTAATCCTCCACCTGCGGCACCGGCACCTGGGTTCTAGTCCCGGTCAGGGCGCCGGGTTCTGTCCCAGTCGCTCCTCTTCCTGTCCAGCTGTCTGCTGTGGCCCAGGAGTGCAGTGGAGGATGACCCAAGTCCCTGGGCCCTGCACCCACATGGGAGACCAGGAGAAGCACTGGCTTCGGATCAGCACAGTGCGCAGGCTGCAGTGCACTGGTCACGGCGGCCACTGAGGAGTGAACCAATGGCAAAGGAAGACCTTTTCTCTGTCTCTCTCTCTCACTGTCCACTCTGCCTGTCAATAAATAAATAAATAAATAAATAAGAAAACCTCCACAGATTAGGTATTGCTCTTCTGGGGACTCCCAGCTCAACTGCAGAAGTTCACAGGCTCAGGAGGGATGACTACAAGGGACATAGATGTGGACTGAGCCTCATCTTTACGCCTTGGTCCAAGAGAGCACAGCCCTGAGAGGTGGGAGGCAAGCTGCTGAGCACAGCAGATGAGACAATTTCCCTGTCTGAGACTCTTTTCTTATTCTAGCTGCCCGGGGCGAGATGTGAGGAGAACTGTGCCACTGCAGACCCGTAAGTATCTGAGCGCGCAAGCAGGGAGGAAGGAGGGGCAGACGAAAACACGGACATTCCGACAAAGGTCAGGATGTCATTCGATTGCTAGGACTTCCCCTTCTGTCTTCATAAATGGGCATCCACCTACCAATCTCATGGACGTGTGTGTCATCTTGAGTGCTCAAAAATAACGCTGCTGAGAGTATTTTTTTTCCAAAGCTGATCTCATCCAAGCAAGCACAAGTAATAATCTCAAGCTATATGGTCAGAGTGGATTACAGACTTTCTCAGCCATGCTTCTCAGTGACTCACCACGACCGTATTTAGTCACTAGCATTTCTATGTGCTGATTCCCAGTGTAGCATCACTACTTCACATCTCCAAAACACTTCCACGTTTTGGAGTCCTGTTAATATTTATCGTAGGCTTCACTTAGCTATGACTTGGATGGAGTTATTGAATCGAAACCTGTCACAAGTGGGTCTTAGGCAGACAGAAGACATAAAGGCTGAGCTGCGAGTGCTTCATTCTGCTTTGAGGAATTATTGAAGACAACAACCAAAAGGAAGTGGAGATAGTTTGAATTAAAGACTTGTTCCTGCTGAAGGAAAACACATATTTACTGCGGGAACAGTTTCCCAGTCACGTCTGTTGAATCCGGGGGAGATGGCGGTGGCCTTAACACTTCAGCTTGTGCACGTCAGGCCTTCCTGCCTTACGTTCGTGCCCTGGTGTTTTGGACATCTGCCACCATGGAAGTGTCTTTTCCTGGAGAATCAGGATCTGCTGTAGCACTAGAGGGGCTTCGAACAGTCGAGGAATGTGAAAAAATCGAGAGGAGTCATTGTTTAGTGGAAAAGCAAGCTCAGTTTTCCACGAACATGTGACCAAAGAGAAGATAAGAAAAACAGATTTCAGGTGATTGACGTATCAGAAGTATTATTAAATGAAAAAATGTAATCATTTACAAAGAAACACTTCTTTGCTTTCCCTCCTACTCCTGATCTTATCTTGCACATCTTCTCCCAGGAAATTCTTATTTTTTTCATCTCTTCAGAGAAAACTTACAATTTCTATGGTTAATTCCAATTATTTAAATTTTTTCATGGTGAAGTTAGTTGGCTTCTACTTTTTCCTCCTTCCTGTTTGGTTTCATGCCACTTCTGATCGCAGATGTGAGAATTTAAGATTTTTAAATGGGGGATGTGTTGCAACAACTTGTGAAACAGAAATTACAAACTTGCTCTTACTGCTTTCACACTCTTCACTGACACTCTACTTATGTTTACATATGACCTCAAATACATACAGACGTTAATGTTAACCTCTGTCTTCAAACTCAGCCTTTGTGAACTTGCATTCTAAATTCTTTCTTGTTAATTTTCATGCTAACTGTGTAAAATGGTCATGAATCCATTTTCTATTAACATTCATCAAGATCACCACTTTTGTCTGTTTCATGATGATTTTGAAAATGATTTGCACGATGCCATCTATAGAATAAAACACAACTTGAGGCAGATGTTTCACAGAAGATTCAGCTAGTCACACTGAGGTTTGGACAATATGACTCGTGATGCTTTTATTATAATAAGATATCATTGTTATATTGTATCTATTTCCCTGATTCTGAGCTCCAACAGAAATTTACTATATTTTTAATCTAAAACAATTATGTTTTCTCCATAGCTGCCTGACCACAGACTGGGTCCATCTCTGGTATATATGGTAAGCTTCATTTGTAATGCCCAGAAAGATATTTTATTTCTCAGGGGTATTAATTATTTTTAAGCATTTAAATACATTGTCAACAGGAAGAAAATATATGAGATAGCTTCCTACTTAGTAAAATTTCTTTACTTCATCACTAACCTGTATGATAAGTTTAATTTAGTGCAAAAAATGTTGAAATGCATGCAAGGGGTCTTCAAAAAGTTCATGGAAAAGACACATTGTGCAGAAGTTATGCATGGATTTCAATTTTTCGCACCCAAATAACCATATATTTTAACTATATTTTCCCATGAATTTTTTGAAGTTCCCTAGTAAATCTGCTGAGATTATTTCAGTGAAAAGGCAACTCCTCAAATGTCTTATTTGTTCTAATGAACCGAGTTTGTCTTGTTGACAAAATAAAAAAAAGATATATGTCAAAAGATATAAAATCAAAAGGTATATAAAAGGAAAGCATCAGAATTAAAAGCTTGTAATTTTTCTATAAAATATTCAAACAAGAATAAAAATGCAGGAGCAGGCATTTAGCCTAGTGGTTAGAGGCACTGGTTAAGTTGCCGAGATCTCATATCACAGGGCATGGGTTGGATACCTGGCTCGGGCTCTGTCTGACTCCAGCTTCCTGCTACCGCAGATCCTGGGAGGCAGCCGGGGTGGCTCCACTGATCGGCTCCTGCCACCCAGCTGGGAGACTTGGATTGAATTCGGGGCTCCTGGCCTTGGTCATTGCCGGCATTTGGGAAGTGAAGAAGCCAATCAGAGTGCTCTGCCACTTTCTGTCTCTCTGCCTCTCAAATAAATTGAGAAAACAAAAGGGGGGAGGGGTGGGGAGTGGGAGAGTCAAAACACAGATAGGAACGGCTGATCGCCGTTAGTTAGGAGGAAGCCAGAGCACAGAGCTCCCGTGTGCTTCGTGGGCTCTTGCAGGTTGCTGGTGGTGATCGGCGCGCTGCTCCTCCTGTGTGGCCTGACTACTGTGTGCTTCCGCTGCTGCTGCCCCAGTCGCCAGCAAAGTGGGGACGACAGGAGCCCGCCCCCCTACGAAGTGACTGTCATCGCTTTTGACCATGACAGCACTCTCCAGAGCACTATCACTTGTGAGTACTTCCACCTGGTGACGTGGGACCGAACCCGATTTAAACGAATGAGCCGGAGGGTACACAGGTGCAGAACTGCTGATGGAATAGGTTTAGAACTCAGGGCGGCTTAAACTTCTGGAGGCCTGCTGGGGTGGTGACCCACTTTCTCACTCATGCTGCATTCCCACTGTTGGGCTGATGATAGAGTGAAAGCAGAAGTGAAATATTGGAGATAATATTGGAAATGTTTTATAAGCAGGAATTACCCAGATTATAAATAGTTATTTTGCTAAAACTGAGATTTGCTCTTTCAAAATGTCGTGGATTTGGGGAAAATCTACATTTTCTGTCATCCGTGCAGTCGCATACACTTTCAGTTCTCCAACTCTTGATACACTAATGTTTAGCCCCACCATCCCTCTGATGATCATACATCTCCTTTTAGCCCCTTCTGTTCTAGTCTTTCTGAAAATTGGGGAGGCAATGCCAGGCAGAACACCAGGTGGCAAAACGCTGTGGTGTTTCTGTGGAAAAGAGAACAGTGAGACGTGTGTGGCTCGCCTCTCCCCCTGCTTCGTCACCATTATCCTGAAGAAATGACACATAAGGCAGACAGAGATACTCCCAGGGAGTCTGCAGGATTGGCGGGTGGGGTAAAGGAATCTAAGTCTGGAAGCGGAAGGGAAAGGCAGGGTGTGAGATAGGGGAGCACAATTTAGATATCAGAAAAGACAACCCTTCTGGGGTCTGGTGTGGTGGCTTAGTGGGGGAAAGCTACTGCCTGTGATGCTGGCATCCCATTTAGGAGCCAGTTTGAGTTCCAGCTGCTCCACTTCTGATCCAGCTCCCTGCTAATGTGCCTGGGAAAGCAGCTGGAGAGGGCTCAAGTAATAGATGCAAATCAGAGGATGGCACAAAAAGACTGTTTTAAAATATCACTTTTCTGGCTGCTGCTGTGGTTCAGTGGGTAAAGCTGCCATCTGCAAAGCTGGCATCCCATATGCATGCCGGTTTGGGTCCTGGCTGCTCTACTTCCAATCCAGCTCCCTGATAATGCCCTGGAAAAAGTAGAGGATGATGGCCCATGTGCTTAGACCCCTGCCACCCCTGTGGGAGATGCACAGGAAGCTTCCGAGCTCCTGGCTTCTGCCTGGCCCAGCCCTGTTCCATTGCAGCCACCTGGGGAGTGAATCAGCAGCTAGATCTATCTCTTTCTATATAACACTGACTTTCAAATAAATAAATCTTTTTATTTTAGTTTTTTTTTAAATTTATTTGAGAAGCAGAGTTACAGACAAAGATAAAGATCTTCCCTCCACTGGTTCATCCCCCAAATGGCTGCAATGGCCAGAGCTGGGCCAATCTGAAGCTAGGAGCCAGGAGCTTCTGGGTCTCCCATGTGGGTGCAGGGGCCCAAGCACTTGGGCCATCCTTTGCTGCTTTCCTAGGCACATTAGCAGGGAGCTGGATTTTTTAAAATATTTATTTATTTGACTTGAAAGTCAGAGTTACACACAGAGAGAAGGAGAGGCAGAGAGAGAGAAAGAGAGAGAGAGAGGTCTCCCATCCACTGGTTCACTCCCCAGATGGCCACAACACCACAGCACTGGCCCTGGAGCTGGATTGGAAGTGGAGCAGCCAGGACACAAACTGGTGCCCATATGAGAAGCCAGCACAGGCTGAGGGCTTAGCCTACTATACCACAGCGGCAGCCCCCAAATAAATAAATCTTAAAAATGAAAAAGAAAAAGGAAAAACGAAGGGATCAAAAAGGAAAAGAGGAGATGAGGTTCTTCTGGCAGAGCATGAGGTTTCTAAGCAAATGCTGTAGGAGTGATAATGCATTGGAATGTTTGTTAAAAATGAGAGGATGCTAGAGCAGACATTTGGCCTGGTGGCTGAGCTGCTGGCTGGGACACCTGCATTCCTATCAGACTTCAGACTGGGTCTGGGACCTGGCTCTGCTCCCCATTCTAACTTGCAGCAGAGGTGATGGCTCAGGTGACTGGGTCCCTGCCACCCACATGGGAGATCTTGTTCGAGTTCTTGGCTCCTAGCTTTGAAGGGACCCAGCCCCAGTTGTGTGGGCCTTTGGGGAGTGAACCAGTGAATTGGTGCTCTCTCTCTCTCGGCCTCACAAATAAATAAATACATTTTTTAAAATGAGGGAGCATGAAGTGTGACGTAAGTCTCTGATGTCTGAGGATGTCACGTGGACGTCCGCTCTGTTCCTTCTCTCCTCACAGCCCTGCAGTCAGTGTTCGGCCCTGCAGCTCGGAGAATCCTGGCGGTGGCTCACTCCCACAGCCCCCTGGGCCAGCAGCCCTCCTCACCGGACATGCTCCCAGGGTATGAAGAAGCTCTGCACATGAGTCGCTTCACCGTGGCAAGGTGTGGGCAGAAAGCACCCGACCTACCCCCCACGCCAGAGGAAGAGCAGCTGCCTGTCGTGCAGAAGGAGAGTCCCCAGATGGAGCATGCTCCAAACTGATGGGAACTCAGACTTCATAAATGGGGTAGAGGTATCCCCAGAATCTGTAGGAATCTACAGAAAAATGGGATACTTCCTTTTCCTACTGTCAGAAGGTCTAGGGTGGCATCTAAGTATTAGTCTGTGAAAAAGATGGATTCTAATTCTTCACTCTCAGCCACGTGAGAATATTTCCTGACATGGACAGCTCCACCAGGGAACTCTCAGTCTATATCCAACGTGGTGCAGAATTTGCAATTCACTGCAAAACCGTGTCAACTACGATGAAAACAGGAAAGCACCAAGGGATCTGAATTCCTTCAATGAGTGTGTATAAAATTCCTTGACCCAAAAGATATTGCAATTTGTTTTTCTCTCTGCCAGTTGCTAGATTGTGATAAACTCGAGGAAAAGGATGAGGGTGTAGGATTGGCCACCTATATTAAGGCAGTGAACTCGCCCATCTTTTCTGCCTGAGAGAACAATGCAGGGTGGCTGATGTGGACAAAGAGAACACAGTGTGGTAGTGAAGGGCCAAGTACCAGCTTTATTTCATGGTCCTTCCCACCAGCTATAAAAAGCCCACCTAGAGTGCAGTAATTTTTCTGTTAATTTGTCAGTTCCTCCACCCTGAAAACACATATATGTGCACACACATATACACACATGCATGGAGACAGTCCCCCTTTTCCAATTTAAAGAAATGCATGGTTTTGCTTATTTGTTCCTTGCTTGGACCGCTCACACATCCATAGTGATACGCACTAGTCTAGGCTCTCACTGCCACCTGGTGGAGGTATGGTGGAAATACATTTTCTCCTCTGGACCGTCTGCAAAACCTCCTTGGAGCACTGAGTGCTACACTAAACCTTGATGAGATCCTTCCCAGAGCACCATTCTGTCAGGTACAGCAAAGCTATCCATTTGTCTATGGGACACTCGACTTCCCCAAAGTACTGCTATTGGAAAATTGAGGAATGTATTTAGGGGAGAACTACTCTCCTTAGATAAACACAGGTTTCTCATCACAGGATTGTTGTGAAGATCAAGGAAGCTAAATACAAGTGATATGACTTGTAAAGTATTATGCACTTGGACTTGTTATTATTCTTCTCATTGTCATCTCATCTTCACCTGATTGTTACGATTCCCGGGAGAGCTCTTGTTTGTCCTTTGCCAGCCTGTTATGTTGTTGCTAAGTCATACCTTAGGTGGCTTTATCAGTAAGTTGTTTGTCGATAAGTAACTAGAGATATAAGTGATTCCTTACAATTTGTTGTATGGAGAGACAGGGAAGACTTGAGACAACTGTGGTTTGTTAAGCAATGAGCTCTCGTGCTCAGGGGGGCATTCGGACCCAAGGACTGGCTGCTTAACACAGCACCTCATTGCATAAATTCTTGGAACGTGCACTCGGCCCATGCGAAGTGTGCCCTCAGTGAGTTTAACCTGCTGGTGATCTGGATTCGTACTGAGCCATTTATCAAATTGCCTCTGGAAGTTACTGAAAGAGGTGAACTGTTGATGGCACTTGAGGGGACCTTGTTTTAACACTGCTCATTGAATCATTGAGTCATCACGCATTCTGTCAAATACTCCAGGCTCTTTTGTCCTTTAAGACATCACAGACTTGAAGAAGTTACAATGTTGATCTGCATTAAAAGGTCTTGGAAGAAATCCTGCCTACGAGGTCTTATTCTGGAGCAATCTTTCTGCCTTACACCCTCCCCAACCCTTACCACCTTATTTGAAGTACAGAATTACTTCCATCCCTTTTCTGCTACTCTAGCCTACATTTCTCCTTACTGGTGTCTCTTCCTGACCTGCATCAGGTGTACAGTCATTACTACTTCTTAGCCACAAGGAGACTTTCACTCTCATAACTGTCCCTTGGCGTCATAAGCAATTAGCAGTTTTGTGGCTTCATTTATTTCTCTACCCAATCTAAGACACCTGTTAATCATCTCAATTGTTCTCGTTATTGCTTTTGATGTTTAAAACTCTCTGAACTTTCATCACACACATTCTTTAGGCTTCAGACACTGGTTCAGTGAAGCCAAATGTTTTCTCCCCAGTGCCGACCCTGCTGAGCGCTGCTGGAGAAATTCTCCCAACTCTACTGAGTTACAAGATCATGGACTCCAATACTACCTGAGCCATTTAGCACTCCTAGAGTTCCTATGGAAATCTCCCTATTTGTTTTCATAGGTGTTCAAATTTCAATGACCCTCTTCATATCCTGTACTCCACCATCAACTGATTAATTCTAGGCAAGGAAAGCCTTCAGATAACTTTCTACCCCAAAGCTACAAATCTCTACAGATCTGCACCTCTCTTCTCTTTCCTTTCAATCTCATGGAAATCAGCGTCTAAGTGCAGAGGTAGCAGGGGGCAAAGAGTGTGCAAGCTCGAGTCTCTGAGTCTCCGTCCTCACAGAGTTTACTTTGAAGCAGGGAATATCATATTAAGAAAAGCCAAAATAAAATGAGAACAGACTTTAAAAGGATAGAATATAACCAAGATGGAGATGGGGAACAACAGATAGGAGGAAACAGAGAACACCTGGAAAAGGCAGAGGGGCAGGGCAATGTGACATAGCAGGTAAAGAAAGCTACTGGTGGCAATGCCAGCATCCCATATGCGCACTGGTTTGAGTCCTGGCTGCTCCATGTTTGCTTCAGCTCCCTGCTAATGGACCAGGAAAACAGCAGAGCACCCAGGGACCTGGGCCCCTGCCACTCCTGGCTTTGGCCTGGTCCAGCTCCCATCATTGTGGCCATCTGGGGAGTGATCCAGCAGATGGAGGACCTCTCTCTCTCTCTCTCTCTTTCACCTTCCCTCTCCTTCTCCCTCTCTCTCTGTAACTCTGACATACAAATAAATTTAACAAAATTTAAAAAGAGAAAAGGCAGAGTGAGGGAAAAGCATATTCAAAGATGAGAAAATGTTTGGTAAAATTGAGAAATTGAAGAAACACTGGCATAGGGATAAGGCCACATGAAATGGAATCCAAGACTTAGAAGGGACTCTGGAAAGTTAGAATCTAGACTATTTTAACATTCATTGAGAAACCATGGAACAAACAAGCCATTGGATTCTATTTGAATTGCAAGATTGGTATGGAGGCTAGTTAGTGAACAAAGGAGCTGAGAGGTTTCCAGCTGTTTCCTTACCATAGCCCTGAACTGCTAAAACTCCAAACCCTTCCATGTTGATTTGGTACACTCACTTCCTCAGGGTGCACCTGAGCCTCCTCCATCATACAGAAGATGCCATGATGAACATGTGTTTGCTTAACTCCATATGAACACACCATGAAACCTTCCCAGAGATCATCTCTAATCCTGAACCCCATACAACCTCCACCTTATTTGCATATTCAATTAGGGCACCACTCCCAACCCAATAGAGGGGTGATCAATGGGAATGTGGGTGATTCTCCCTCATGCGTTTGCTCACACTTCTGTCTGAGTGAATACTTTTTCTTTAATCTTGTAAGATAAATCCTGCTCCCATTCTTGCACTCTATGTCTCTGCTGTGAATTCTTCTCTCATAGTGAGACAATAACCTGGAATAAATCCAGCTGGGGACCCACATACACCCCATGACTCATTATGCTTCAGAAGAGTGGACTGGTGTGGAGCAAGTATGGAAGTGAGAAGACCAGATAGGAGGCAACTGAAGAACAGAGGATAAGAGATGATTATGGAGAGGATGAGTATGGTGGTGATAGAGGCAGAAAGGGAGCTAAATGTAGAGGTTGCAGAGATTTATTGGGGATGGGATCACCAAGGCTAACTGATCAATGGCATTGGGAAATGTATTAAGGAAAAGGAACTGAAAGATGACTCCCAGATCATTTACCTGAGCTGATCCACACAACATGTAACTTTTTATTAGGTCTGGGAAGATCGGGGGATGACTACATCTAGGGTGGAAACAAGGCAGTGATTTCTAATAGAGAGGAAAAGGTGCTTGACAGTGAAATATAACAAGTTAAAACAAAGCCTACTATACTAAGCAGCAAGGAAAACTCAGATGTACCAAGGCAGCCATTGCAATAGGCTCAGTTCCCAAGTCTGATGTTAATGGTTAATGAATCTGTTCATGGATAATGGATTAAAGGTGGAGGCTTAATTCAATTGTCTTGTTGGAAGGTGTCCCAACTTTTGGAAAGTGCTTAGATTGGATTAAGTAGCGTTCCCAGTCTCTCTGCTTTCGGGCTCCCCATGTGATCCTTCCCCCTGCCATCCTTCTACCATCTACTACTCTCATCAGATGCCAGGCCAACAGGGCCACCCAATCTTGGACTCTAAAACCACGAGGCAAAATTATCCTTCTTTCTGAAGTAGCCCCTCTCAGGTGTTTGCTTTAGTGATAAAAAGCTGACGAATATCCTTGTCTGAACAGAAACTCCTGCAAAGCTTCAGGGCTGTGTCTCCTGTGATGATAAAGACACCTGAGGGGAGGTCTCTATCTCTATAGCAGGAGGGGAGACCTGAATGATGGGCCCACACTCATTTACACAAGGATGCCATGGACTCTCCTTCTGGGTGAACCTGGGTCTGAGAGAAGACTGGGTCCGGATGACTTGCTCCGCCAGGGGTTACAGCCAAATAGAACAGAACAGCGTTCCTTCTGGTGGTCAGCTTCTGGTCCAGGTCTAAGTCAGGAATTGCAGCCTCAGTGCTTATTGAGCTAGTCTTACTCGTGACAATGTTACCTAGGGCAGTGCCTGCCTGCTCTAGTTAAGTTACTACCTCCGCCCTCACATTGCTTCTCTCTGAGACTAGGCCAGAAGTTTCTCCTCAGGCTAACAGGCCAGGCCAGCTGGACCCAATATGGCTGCCTGAGCCAACTCCTTCTGACCTCAAACTTCATTTTCACCTAATGACATACCTACCCACTGGCATGACAAGAAACAGACTACAGAGGGGTGAAAAGTGGTTGCACCTGAGTTTTTGAGAAATCTCTGCTCATTCAAGAAAGACATGAGCATTCCTTCTCATTTCTGTTTGCCCTGGGTCTGTGGCTCTTCACCCCCCAACAGGTTGAGAGGTCAATTTGTGAACTAGGCTCTTGCTTCCTCATTCTTTGGCCACTGAATAAACTTGTGAAATTTGTTTGTTTTAAAGATTTATTTACAGAGAGAGAAGGAGAGAGATTTTTCATCTGCTGGTTCATTCCCCAAATGGCCATGATGGTTGGGGCTGTGCTGGGCTAAAGCCATGAACCTGGAACTCCATCCTGGTCTCCCATGTGAGTGGCAGGGGCCTAAGTACTCGAGTCATCTTCCATTGCTTTCCCAGGCACATTAGCAGGGAGCTGGATTGGATGTGTAAGAACCAGGACTCTGGCACTTATGGGAGATGCAAGGGTTGGAGGCTATGACAACCTGCTGCACCACAACACTGGCCCCAAACTTGTGCTGTTGATTCTCAGCTTGGGTTTCATTTTTGGCTCGATGCCACAGAAAAGACAAAGGACACCCTCTCTGTTGAGGTCTCTTCCTGCAAAGGAGGCGGGGCAGCATTATGCTGGTGACAAAGGAAATATCCTTACTAAAAGATCTGTTTAGTTAATACCAGAGATTACTTATACTTGAAAGTGTCAGTAAAGCAAAACAGGAATTATTCTGCAACTTTAAGGGGCAGGGGATTAAAACTGCCAAGTCTGGGGGCAGTGAACTTTTTTTCCTTTTCCTTGGGTAGATCAGATTGGCTGGAAAGGAACAAAGCCAGGTTCTAAGTGTGCCCTTGCGCAAGCCAACTGGGAAATAATGCCAGTGGGGGTAGGGATTGTCCTAAATATATTGAGGGTTGAACTGTGGGAAACAGTTGGCCGCTGTCTCTGAGCAGTGTAGGTCAGATGGCCTCCATCGGCTCCTCCACTTTGTCCCGGAATTGTACCATCTTCCACCTCAGCAATTCTCATCACTTCGAGAGTTTGGAAAGGGTGCCATGACATTAGTATTGTCTGAGTTGAAACCTGAAGGAAGGCTAAATTGTAAACATCAAATACACCTGAAATGATATGATCTCTGTATGAGCAAAGAAATTACATGAGGCTGTGACTCCTGCAGAATGGCAAACAGTCCAAGAGTGATAAGAATGAATCTGGAAATAAAAGTTGGCATCTTTTTATGGAAGTCATCAAATGCAGCTCTAGCAGTTTGGACTTTATTCTGCATTCTGTGAAAACCACTCTAAATATTTGAAGAGGGAAAAGGGATTCTGTAACTTTAAAAATGCTTGGTGCTGTGGCATAGAGGGTAAAGCCAACCTCCTGCAGTGTCAGCATCCCATATGGCACCGGTTCAAGTCCTGGCTGCTCCACTTTCGATCCAGCTCTCTGCTATGGCCTGGGAAAGCAGTGGAAGATGGCCCAAGTCCTTGGGCCCCTGCACCCTCATAGGAGACCCAGAAGAATCTCCTGGCTCCAGATAAGCATAGCAGCAGCCGTTGTGGCCACCTGGGGGAGTAAACCAGCAGATGGAAGACCTCTCTTTGTCTCTCTTTCTCTCTGCCTCTCTGTAACTCTGACTTTCAAATAAATAAATAAATCTTTTTAAAAATGCTTTGATTGTCACTAGAAGGTGCATAAAAGAAGGAAAATACAGAAGACGGGTGACCATTATGCATATTGAACCATCCCAAAGACAATATCTCTTTAATTT